CGAATGGTACCAATGTCTTCTTCATAATATCTAGCCTCCACCAGGTGAGTGTTGGCTGAAAAAGGCTTATCATTTGCAGACACGACCTCAGCCTTGCCACCATTCCAGAAAATCAATTTCTGGTGAAGTGAAGAAGGAACACACCAACTTGAATGAATCCAGTCACACCCCAAAAGTGCATTATAAGTAGCAACAGTATCCACCACAAAAAACGCAGACATCAGTGTCCTATTTCCCACTGTTAATTCAACAGGCAGCACACCCCTTGAATGATTCACCCCTCCTGTAAAATCACTAATTGTAACCTCAGTATGCACTAAATCATCAAGAGACTTGCCTATTTTGTAGAGCATGCAAGTGGGAAGGACATTGACTGCAGCTCCATTATCCACCAAGACACGGCTGATTGGAGTCCCATCCATGTAAGCATTGATATAAAGTGGCCTAATGTGTCTGGCCATCTTTTCTTCTGGTTTTTCAAACACAATTTTGTCAGTCATGTCCTCCTCTTCATCATCCTGAGCTGGAACAACAATTACCTCTTCTTCTGTCTGTTTTGGGAACTCACAGACAATTGGTTCATCCTCCTTCTTGGCTTGGAAAACCAAGGGTAATGTCAGCACCAGACATAACAAATTCACTAAGAATTCCCCAAAATGAATAGTTCCATCTTCTTTTGATTCAGATCCACGATTCCCAGACTGTTCTTGTGCTTCAAAAGTTGCTTTCAAAACTCCGTCTGGACTCACAATGACAGACGCCACCTTTGGAGAGGCTGAAGATTGGTCATCCTCCTTCTGTAGAGTCTGGGTTACAGTCTCATTTTTCTCTTTTCTCACCCACACCATGTTCCTTTTTGGAGGTTGGCGTGGTCTGCGAGATGAACTTCCCTCAGCCTCCATCAGCTTCTGTTGCCTTTTTCGCTCTTCAGCCCTTTTGCGTTGCAGTCTGCGCCTCAAGGTTCTGGGATTCTGGGCTAGAAACTTAGGATGATTGACTTTCTCCCACCGTCTGGAAGGTGACTTAAGTGGCGGTTTGACCATCCTTGGAGATCTAGTACCAGTTGAATAACGTCTGGCACCTTCTGGACTGAAGTTCCTGGTCACAGTGATCCTTTCTTGCCCCCCGAGCCTCTGCTGGTCTGACCTGACGCTCCTGCTATGTCTGGATCTCTGCACCTCAAGAACCCACCTTAAGTCTTCTGCAGCAAGGTTCCTTTGAGCATAAGGCAAACTGCAATTTCTGGCAACACTCCTGAGGTCTGCAACATTCACGCTCACAGACACAGCTGGAAAAGGATCTGCATCCATTCCCATGGTTTCCTTCGCTTTGTTTGGAAATTTTAAGATACCCTTATCAATCTTTTTTTGCAAGATATTACAAAAAATAAGACAATTATCAGTAGAATGCTTCCAAGAATTATGAAATTTGCAATAATCTCTAGCTCCGATTTCAGCCGCTGTCGGGATTTTATGTCCCGATGGCAGCTTAATCAGAGCACTCTTTTTAAGGTGGTCAAATATATCACTAGCTTTTGACACATCAAAAGTATACTGTTTTCCAGCCTCACCAACATAACGTCTCACAGACATCTCAGGCTGGTGAGTTGGTCTGACAAGGTCTGGACAAACAACAAGCTTGTCTGTAACAACCTCAACCACATCAAGATCAAAATTAGGGTCACTGTAATAGGTTCCATGTGATGCAGCTTTCTTTTGAACATCTTCTTTCAACAGATTTTCATACCGAGCCACTTTATAAGACAATTCATAGAAGTCTCGGAATTTCATCCCCTCAAATTTCTTTCGGAGCTCAATGTCCAGACCATTCTGAGCCAGCTTAACAAACTCTTCTTCTGGCAGTGCAACTCTACATTTCAGTCTGGCTCTCCGAAATCTCGCAAGGAATGCCTCAGACGACTCTCCAGGCTTTTGGGCTAACCTCGACAAGTCTACCATAGACACTTCCGGTTCACAACGATAAAATTGAGTATGAAACAAGTCCTCCATTTGCCTCCAAGAGTAGACTGAATTTTGAGGTAGACTGAGGTACCATGTAAGGGCTGTCCCAGTTAAAGAGCTAGGGAATAGTCTGAGTTTCAAGTTATCATCTCCAGACGCCTCTCCACATTGTATTGTGAAGTGTCCAATATGTTCAATAGTGGACTGACCAACCTCACTAGAAAATAAAGTGAACTCAGGCACTTTAAAACCCCTTGGAAAAGGATTTTCATGATCAATGATGTCTGGATAAGGCTTCCTGTAGGCTGGACGCACCAATGGTCTCAAGGCTGGTCCATAGGTTTCTTGTACCAGATCTATTAGCTGATCTCTGTTGAATAATTGAGCTGGGTGATTCTATAGACCGTGCTGTACCGGTTGGGCTGGAGGAACTTGTGGCTGGAAAAAATCCCTTGGGTAGGGTTGATGATGAGGACCCATATTTCCCCTCCTACCTGGCGGAACATACCTATGCTGAGGTTGATGGCCATGGTCTGCAACAAGAGCAGCAGCCTCCATTGGTTCATGCTGTCTTTGTCCTTCACCCATGAAGAAATTCTGTTGTTGAATGTTAGGATGAGGCTGATTCCCTTGCCCCCCGAGTGCTGGGATTGGGGCTTCCTGAATCTGTCTGGGCATTTCAACGACTGAAGGAGGAATCTCAGGTCTGGGTTGTCGCACTTGCTCAACCACTTGTTCTGAAACAGCCTACAGTGTTCTGCGACTTTCTTCCCCAGTTTCTCGCATCACCCTAGTGCCTTCCTCAAAGACCCGTCTCATGTCTTCCATACATTGTCTGATTATCTCTTCTTGACGTCTGGAGGATTCTGCTTGACTCTCAACCAGCCTCTGCATAGTCTGGTTCTTTTCTTTGAATGCTAAATCCAGACGTTCCATCATACCTCTAAACATATTACTTGATTCAGCAAAGTCACCTCCACGGTCTGCTTCTTTCT